GGCGTCACCTTCACGTTGTAATGCAAGGCATACGCGGCACGGGAGTGTTAATATGTGTTGCGGAGCGTTGCGGTGGGGCATGCCTATAATGGCGTCACCTTTACGTTGTAAGGCAAGGCATACGCGGCACGGGAGTGTTAATATGTGTTGCGGTGCGGCATGCCTACAATGGCGTCACCTTTACGTTGTAAGGCATGTGGAGCGTGGGAGTGTTAATATGTGTTGCGGTGCGGCATGCCTACAATGGCGTCACCTTTACGTTGTAATGCAATGCAAGGCATACGCGGAGTGTTAATATGTGTTGCGGTGCGGCATGCCTACAATGGCGTCACCTTTACGTTGTAATGCAAGGCATACGCGGAGTGTTAATATGTGTTGCGGTGCGGCATGCCTACAATGGCGTCACCTTTACGTTGTAATGCAAGGCATACGCGGAGTGTTAATATGTGTTGCGGTGCGGCATGCCTACAATGGCGTCACCTTTACGTTGTAAGGCATGCGGAGCGTGGCGGAGGCGCGGCGCAGGAAGCGGAGCACGAGCGCGGCGTGCTGCACGGCCAGCTCGTTGGCGGGCGACGACACGCGCTTCAGCACGTGTGTTAGGAACAGACCGAATGCGCGACGTGTCTCGCCCAACCTGGGGATATTTACAACTATTTGTTTTAATGATCATTAGAAAGGCTCTACACGTTGGTTCTAACCCCACATCCAATGTGTGGATCTAAAATTAGGTTGTCTTAACGTTGGTGTCAATAAATAAGTACCATTTTTCACACTTTGGATGAATAATGTTGGGTCTGGGCCAACATTGAAGCCAACGTGTGGAGCTGGCATTAGCCGAGTACATACAGCCTACTTGACGGCCTGATACTTCGTAATCTGTACTAAATACTGATTCATCATCATCATCAACAGCCCTTTACAGTCCACTGCTGGACTATGAGCCTCCTCCAGGCAGGCGGGTTGGAGATCGCAGTTTAAAAGATTGATGTTTTTCAGAGAGCGCTGCCGATACTGATTCATCATAATCTAATGAGGGCTATCGTTTTTATACTTAACAGTTGGCACCCCTGGCGATTGACAGGACCTTACTCTACAGTGGCGCCATCTTGATGAGTGCAAATGCGATAGTCCTCCTACTACTTTCGCGCTCACCAGTTGGTGCCACTGTCTTCGCTACTAGCAAGTGACAGGACCTTACTCTACAGTGGCGCCAACTGGTGAGCGCTAAAACGATAGCCCTCATTGCGCGTGGATCGTCTACATTGGATCGTAGCTCACTAATTGGCGCAACCGTAGAGTATGCCTATCACTTGCAAATGGGCTAAAACCGTAGCGTCATCTAAAGCAGTTGACTATGCAGCCGGCTCAAATAAATAAATAACCACCACCATCAACCGTCTGTATGGTCTAGTGGTAAGACCACCACCTGTTTCAGACGCAGAAGTCCCGGGTTCGATTCTCAGTGGGGGCAGATTTTTCTGTTCAGTTTGGTTGGTGGGGCTTGTTCTAAGTCCGCCTGGCTAGCTACCACCATCTTACCTAAGTCTGTCGCTATAACAACAATGTTAACAGCATTATTGTGTTCCGGCAGTTAGAGGTAAGATAGCCAGTTCCTCCGTGGTTGAGGATTCCTTCGGCCTGTTCGTCACTAACCATCAGGTGAGATACAGGCCAAGAGCTTCCTCGTTGTGGATAAAAAAAATATTTTTAGACAAAAACAGTCCATATTTTGTTAGTAACAATTTATCTTAAAAACTATGTTAGTACGGGACTATTCCCACCTCTCGTTACCACCACTGCAACTCCTGTGTAGCCAGGATCTACAGCTTGACCGCAAAACCAAACCAATGAAGGTCAAGTTTGTCAAACTATGTTAAAGCCCGGTCTGCGAGCACGTAGAATTTTGTCCAATGACCCCAAGCTACCCATCCTTATCGCTCGCGCGTAACTGTGTTGCTGTCGCGCTCGCACACTCACTGCGGGCGCCCGTCGCACAGTCGCGACAGCAATATAATTACGCGCGAGCGATAAGGATGGGTAGCTTGGGGTCATTGGACAAAATTCTAAGTGCTCGCAGACCAGACTATAGTAGGGAGCTTACGTGAGCCGCATGCCGTCGCTAAGCTGCGCTTTGACCAGCTCCTTGGCGCGTCGCGTGTCGTGCTGTGGTTGGGCCGCTGGTTCTCCGAGAGAAATGGCGGGCGCTGTCGATGTTATGCTCACTGCCTCGTAGCGCTTCAGTCTGAAATAAGAAAACAAATTGTACTGTACTGTACTGTAACCCAATTATCATCAACCTATTGGACACAGACCTCCTCCTATACGCATCATTTTACCATGTCTTCGGCTCCTCTTTCCGCTCTTTAGATTCGGCTATTAAATGTCACTCTATCTAGCTGGTCTAGGCTTACGCTACGATTACAGAGACACGCTCAGGTTGCAGCAGAATGGACGTCGCACTCGGTGACGTCACAGCGTGCTCACCTCTGCGGGGTGTCGGTGAGGCTGGTGGCGACGGTGGCGTGCTGGAAGTGTGGGAGCACGTGCGAGTGCACCAGCAGGTTGTAGTTGTGCCGCAGCACTCGGTGACGTCACAGCGTGCTCACCTCTGCGGGGTGTCGGTGAGGCTGGTGGCGACGGTGGCGTGCTGGAAGTGTGGGAGCACGTGCGAGTGCACCAGCAGGTTGTAGTTGTGCCGCAGCACTCGGTGACGTCACAGCGTGCTCACCTCTGCGGGGTGTCGGTGAGGCTGGTGGCGACGGTGGCGTGCTGGAAGTGTGGGAGCACGTGCGAGTGCACCAGCAGGTTGTAGTTGTGCTGGACCACCTGGTACGGGATATTGTTGTTGAGGGACGTCGAGCACACCGGGATGCCCGTCACTGGGTCTGTGGACGATGAGTTTGGGTCAGTTTCACGAGAGAATGTAGCTTAATGTACAAATAAAGATGTATTATCATTGATCATGGCGTGCGCTATAGTTCTATGAGTCCGATGACTCATGTTCATCACACTGCCAGCTCCCTAGCAATCAATAATTTTATTTTTTCCTTAGTGTAAGCCTGTCGATTGAAGGCTCCAAGCTCGACTGAGTCGAGTCGAGCTCGGAACCTCCTCATGAGCCTCATCAGCTCCTCCTAGGTGAGACCTCCAAACTTGCCGCAGCTTGGTAGCTGACCATGGTCTCATGAAAAAGCTGAAAAGGATAATTATTCATCTGCTACTTTGCTTAGACAACTTATCCAAACACTGCATGTACTTCTGCCAAGAATTCTAGCTAAGGAAGATCCTGACGAATCCACTTTTCCTCGTGTACTGCTCTCTTACGGCCCTAACAAGTCGTAGCTACTCTCCCGTTAGCGCTCCAAGCTTGCCGCAAGCTTTATAGCTGACTATGGTGTCATGATCAAGCTGAAAATAATCTCTCCTTTCCTTCACCTGTAACTTGCTTTAAAATGCTATCCACGACTTACCCAAATACTGCGAATACTTCTGCCACGAATTCTGACTTGGGAAGATCCTGACGAAGCCGCCTCTCCTCGCGTACTGCGCTCTTACCACAGTAGATATATGAGCTAAAGCAGTACGGAAACTTAGCCGTTTCGGCGAGTTAAATACCTACACTTCAACTGAGTGTTAGGGTTGGCACTCTTAATCTTTATAAAATTAATAAGGTTCTGACTTACTTATTTATTAAAACGTTTATTAATGTTTTTTAATTATCAAATACCTAATGGAATAAATTAATTGACTAAGTAGTTAACAAAAAAATAAAACGTTAATTAGGTTCTATAATGATCGAATACATAATGGAAGAAATTGATTAAGTACTATTAGAGGCCGGTAGAAGATATTCTATTCTCATAAATAAAATACCGGATACTTACTTTCACATAGCTATTGCCTCATTTTAAATACAGTTCATCACTTAGTACAAAAGCGCGCGGAGCAAATTACTTTATCAAATAGAACACATAAATTGTTAAAAAGCGTAATTACGTAATTTAAAAAGAACTATTACAAAATCAGATGTAAGCAGTTTATTTAAAAAGTAATATTTAATCATTTTTACAATTCAGAATTATTACGAAGTTTAAAAATGAAAGTTCTGGTTTTGAAGATGCCGAGTTCAAGCAGCCGTATACTACGCAATACACTCAAGGCATGTTTTTTAAAAATACAGCGGATCGTGCATGCAATAAAATTATTACTAAAAACACAACGCGCGCGGCACTCGCGACGGATGGACTGCGAGGTTCGCTTAGAGCTCGTGTAAAGCGTGCGTCTGTGTGCGTGAGTCTGATTTCGAGCGTTTGTATGAAGCTTCCGTACTGTTTGATTTATCTACTGTGCTCTTACTGCCCTCACGAGCCTTAGATCCTCCCCAGTTAGGGCTGCCAAGCTGGGTGCAGCTACTATGATCATAAGCTGAAAAGAACCACCTTCACCTGTAATTTACTTTCTAGGACTTACCCAAGTACTGCGAGTACTTCTGCCAACAGTTCTGACTTGGGAAGATCCTGACGAAGCCGCCTCTCCTGGCGTACTGTGCTCTTACTGCCCTCACGAGCCTCAGCTCCTCCCCAGTTAGGGCTCCAAACTTGCTGCAGCTACCATGCTCATATGGAGCTAAAAAGAATCATCCTTCACCTGCTACTCTGCTTTGAAGACTCACCCAAGTACTGCAAGTACTTCTGCCAAGAGTTCTGACTGGGGAAGATCCTGACGGAGCCGCCTCTCCTTGCCTACTGCGCTCTTAATGCCCTCACAAGCCTCAGTTCCTCCCCAGTTAGGGCTCCAAACTTGTCGCAGCTACCAGTCATATGAAGCTAAAAAATCATCCTTCACCTGCTACATTGCTTTGACGACTTACCCAAGTATTGCGAATACTTCTGCCAAGAGTTCTGACTTGGGAAGATCCTGACGAAGCCGCCTCTTCTCGCGTACTGCGCCCTTACTGCCCTCACGAGTCGGAGCTCCTCCCCAGTTAGGGCTCCAAGCTTCTCGCAGCAGCCATAGTCCTAATGAAGCTGAAAAGAATCCTTCGTCTGTTCTCGACTTACCCAAATACTGGGAATACTTCTGCCAAGAGTTCTGGCTGGGGAAGATCCTGACGAAGCCGCCTCTCCTGGCATACTGCGCCCGTACTGCCCTCACAAGCCTCAGCTTCCCTCCCGTTAGGGCTCCAAGCTTCTCGCAGCAGCCATAGTCCTAATGAAGCTGAAAAGAATCCTTCGTCTGTTCTCGACTTACCCAAATACTGCGAGTACTTCTGCCAAGAGTTCTGACTTGGGAAGATCCTGACGAAGCCGCCTCTCCTGGTATACTGCGCCCTTACTGCCCTCACGAGCCTTAGCTCCTCTCCAGTTAGGGCTCCAAGCTTGGTGCAGCTACCATGATCATGATAAAGCTGAAATGAACCCCTTCACCTGTAAATAGCTTTCAACGACTCACCCAAGTATTGGGAATACTTCTGCCAAGAGTTCTGGCTGGGGAAGATCCTGACGAAGCCGCCTCTCCTGGCGTACTGCGCCCTTACTGCCCTCACAAGCCGTAACTCCTTTCCCATTAGGGTTCTAAGCTTGCCGCAGCTACCATGCAGGATGAAGCTGAAAAGAATCAACTCACCCAAGTACTGGGAATACTTCTGCCAAGAGTTCTGACTAGGGAAGATCCCGACGAAGCCACCTCTCTTTGCGTACTGCTCCCGTACTGCCCTCACAAGCCGTAACTCCTTTCCCGTTAGGGCTCCAAGCTTGGTGCAGCTACCATTATCATGATAAAGTTGAAAAGAATCATCCTTCACCTGCTATTCTGCTTTGAAAACTCACCCAAGTACTGCGAGTACTTCTGCCAAGAGTTCTGACTTGGGAAGATCCTGACGAAGCCGCCTCTCCTGGCGTACTGCGCCCGTACTGCTCTCACGAGCCGTAGCTCCTCCCCAGTTAGGGCTCCAAGCCCAGCGGCCGCAGCCACGTTGGGTACGGGAGCTGTTGCGTTGCTCCCGCTGTGATTCTTGCCGCGGACGAAGACGTTTTCTGCTGAATGGACGCGGCGACACTGGACAAGAAATAGACGCATTTGGTAGGGGTTTTCATGGAAGTCAATAAAGTTATTTATGTCTCTGTCATCCGCTTTACAATGGATGGTAGTGGCTTCGAATTCCTAAACTTCTGCGGCCGACTAAGATGCGCGCCGCGATAAGTGGTTATCACGCCATTTTATCGATGTTTCCCATACATTTTGACGTTGATAAAAGTTATCACGGCGCGCATCTTAGGCCTACAGGACAACTCAAACATTGGTTAGAGTCGGGACAACTGAAAAATTAGTAGAACTGTGGATTCTGGTTACACAAGAGTTGCAGCAGAGGGAACGAGAGGTGGACATAATGGCATGGAAAATGAATATAAGATAAATAGCCTGTAAGGAATGGAGCCACTCTTTACTGTTCAGCTTTCTAAACTTTCGAACTGCATAATAAGTACCTATGTCGGTAAACTAAGTCTTTTGCCAAAATACCTCGTTCGTTCGTTCGTTTCAGCCAAATGACGTCCACTGCTGGACAAAGGCCTCCCCCTCCTCTCCACAATACCTATGGGTTATTAATCTGATATGACATCCAAACCCAACTGTCGCTGCGCTCAGTTAGCTGATTTCAGGTTCACCTTGCTCCCTCATGCGGTTATCCCCTGACATCGAGAACCAAGTATAAACGGACGTGGTATACTCACAGCTTCAAAGGTAGCAGGAAAGCGCTGGACGCAGGCCGCTACCAACCGGGTAACATGGAAAGCATTGGGGGAGGCCTATGTTCAGCAGTGGAAGTCCTATGGCTGAGATGATAATGATGATGATACCAGGCCTGTTCATCTCCGCGAGTTTACATCGAAAACAAAACACGCACGATGGCCCACCTACAGGATACTATTCGACAAGGCCTCACATACGAGCGAACATTGACTCACGCACGCGTATTCTTGTGTATGATGGAAAAAAATAAAGAAAATGGTGTACTAAATACTGTGCAGTATTTAACTGCCTAAATAATAATAAAAACACAGAATGTACTTTTTTAAGTTGCCTCAAGACACTAAGAGGTAAATAAGTAGTTAATATTATTCATGATAGTTCATGCTAAATCATGTATTTCCTCCGCCATTTTCCGCAGTTTGGCACCTCACGTCACATCATTTAACGAAGTCAGCCCTATAGCTTCGGCGCAGTGCCGATCACTGACGTTTGTCAACAAAATGGTGCTTGACTCTTGAGACAGGCTAAATTACACCATATTGTTAATGACATTGAGCATAAATTTTTTTAAATACCTTCGCGAAGTAAAACTTCTGTACGTAGTACTTATTATTATTCTGTGCTACAACGGAGTTACAGCACTGGGAACTAGAGAAGGAATATATCAAACGCAGGAATATCTCACAGCAAATCGAATGCACAGCCTTGAATAGAGCTCTGTGATTGGTTCATGTGTCACCTTGTGTGTCCACGCGCACTGTGAGACCTCATCTTATTTTATCTTATCTTATCCAGGGCTACGCGTGGGCGCAGTGCACGTCTACCCATCGGGATCTTTTGCTTTACCTTTATCCCCCCCATCCGCAAAGATCCTATCCATATAGTGAATCAAGTGCTTGGGTGAGAAGGACCTATAATCTTCTGGTGTCGGATAGGCAGACTCCAGGAAACCCATTCTAGTTCTAGCTAGCGCGTCGCATTCGCACAGTATGTGTTTCATGGACTCCGCGTGTTCTCCACATGCTCGACAGCTGTGAGACCTCATAGTAATCTTTGTGAATACGGGCGTGAGATATTGCAGTCAACAGACGTGGCTAGCTAGCCAGCGACATGTCGGCCGGTTCTACTTAGCTTTCTAGATTTTTGGACTATATCCATAACACAGTATACTTACAGCGCCGATGCGCATCTTGAGTGAGGCGGCGTGTGGAGCGAGCTGTGCGCAGGTAGGCAGCGCCGGTAGACCCACCAGCGTCAACGTGTCAGCCAGTAACGCTGACTTCACGCGCGCGTCTAACGGGCTCTCGCATGCCAAACTGCCGACAAATGACATCGCATCAGTGTGCTTAGTGCAAAGTCGCTAGCGAGTGCGTCAACATCAAATAAACCGCACCTTCCGCGACGCGAACTTTAAAGATTTTCTTCTGACACAATCATGGTACCCCAACAATATTGGTGTTATTTGAAAGCCCAATAAATATCCTTAAAGAAAAATACATTTCATTTCTAAATAAATGATTAACATATACCATAAACGTGACTTGAAAATAGACCTCACTTTGGGCTCACCTTTGGGATCAATTAGACCAATTTTTATGGTTATAAAACCAAATAAAGATCTCACGTGTCCTCTTTAACAGATGGATAGCGATTAATCCCAACTTAACAGTTTTATAGCCATAAAAGTTGGCTCAAGCGTAACTATCTATTTTTTGAAGAAGTGACTCTGGATCCTTCTAAAGAAACATTTTTGGGGTAAAAACCTTTCCTATAATTAAATGAAGTTTAGAACTAGGCTTTTGAATGGTACCAATATTGGTGTGAAGTGGGGATGCATACGTTTGAAAGTGCTTGTCGCGGGTGGTGCGATTTATTTGCTGTCGAGTGTATTTACTGAAATCTATTGGCGCGGACTCGCAGTATATGACATCAGTGTTTTTCTCAACAAGCAAGTGCTCTCCTTGACTAAAACATATGACCGAAGTACCAGGACCGCAGAATGCTAAGACGTTGTCTCATAAAAACAATGCGAGTTACTTGAAATAAAAGTGTACTTTATTGTCTAGAAGTCAAGGTCTAAATAACTTTGGTGTTGTTAGCACAAATAAATAAACGACCTGATAAAAAGGTAAACATTATTACAAACTATACGGTCGTAAATAATGCATTTGATTCATTCATGAGATGAGCTCTCGGTGTTTATTTACTCCTGGTACATTGTATTGGCAACCGGGGTGGGTCGCTTGATAAGGAAAATATAATTATGTGTTCAAATCTGAAAAAAAAAAAATATCAAAAATGCAGTCAGTGCGATGGCACATCAGACTACACATTCTTGTTGCAGAATATCATTTAAATATTTGTTAGTATGATGGATGTGGATGTCTACATGCGATTTTTGCCACAAAATGGCATTTAGACAGCCGCAGAAGATACCACAGTGTCTCCTTCGATGTGCTACCGCCTGTACCTACGTAATAAGTGTCTACTACGACCACTCTCAACACAAGTTTAATTAACTGTTTTATCTAAACTGTGGTAAATGATGCTGGTGTTGAATTTAGATAATATTGGTATATTATGATTATTATGATTATTATTATGATTATATTATTACTATTTATTTGCTACTGTACTTCAATACTGTTTTTTTACCCAAATAAATAAATGAAAAAAATAAATGTAAACAGTTCACATAGGCAATAAGAGCATTTTTTACACACAGCAGATGGCACCAAATGTTAGCCACTAGTGATACTAGGAGTCTAGGACAAATTGTGCTGTATGTATCGAACGCCTCTTTAGCTTTTATAGTGTTTGAAAACAAAAATAGTTGCCCCAAAAGATAAGTATCTATCAGAATGCGAAATTTGAAGTAAAAAAGTAACATACCTAGGGGATAAGTTGATCTCTAGCAGCCAAGGTTTCAGCATGTCGTCTATTAGGATGTCGTAGCCGAAGAGTTCTGAAAATGATAAGGTTAGTATATTTATTCATTTCACAGTCACATTGTGTTGCAGCTAAAGCCTGGTCCGTGAGCACGTAGAATTTTGTCCAATGACCCCAAGCTACCCATTCTTATAGCTCGTGCGTAATTATATTGCTGTCGCGCTCGCACACTCACTGCGGGCGCCCGTCGCACAAAATTCTACGTGCTTTAGTATGGGAACAGGGTTGCAGGTTTCAGCTAAAGAAGTTGGGCACAAAAACTCTGACAGCGGCGGTGATGGTATGCGCGAAAAACATGACGGATTTCACCACAAGGTCTTCAATGGCAGCAATGAACGCCGTGTTGTTGCACCTATTTATCATAATCACACTGAAACTCACCGAAGCAGTTGAAGAAGTTAGGCACAAAAACTCTGGCAGCAGCGGTGATGGTCTGCGCGGAAGACAGGATAGACTTGACCACCAGGTCTTCGATGGCGGCCATGAGAGCCGTGGTGTTTCGTCCTTGCTTCCTCAAGTGTCGGAGCAGTGCTGAGAGCGTCCACTTGTGGCCTATGTTGCCTGCGTTGGGGTCGTCACACCTGGAAATAGCCATCATCATGTTATGGAAGATTTTGTGTACAGTGGACTTCCCAACTTAGACATGATTCATCATCATCATCATCATCATCTCAGCCATAGGACGTCCACTGCTGAACATAGGCTTCAACCAATGCTTTCCATGTTGCCCGGTATGGCGGCCTGCGTCCAGCGCCTTCCTTAGGCATGATTAATAAGCCATAAAAACCATTTTTAAATAACAAGGATGCTTCTGAAAATGTTTTTATTCTCACAACGGCGATCCGATCCGAATCCGTCAAAAAACGTAGCCGTAGAACTATTTTTATGGACTAAAACGCTTCACACTAAATCCGATAACCATCATCTGATTTCTCTATCCTTCAGTTGGGTTTTTATGGCGGTCAAGCTGTAGATCCTGGCTACACAGGAGTTGCAGTGGTGGAAACGAGAGGTGGGAATAGTCCCGTATCTGATTTCTCTAGGTACTTTTCTAGATCAGTATTTAGACGTATTCTGATCGGACGTGGTACAAATCCGCTCTTACGATATAAGATACCCAGCCAGAGCAAGTTGAAAATGTCTTAAGACATTGTAAACTCACTACTTTGTAACGATAATATGTGACCGACTACCAGGTTTGCAGAATTTTAAAGTGTTGTCTCATATTAAAGTAGGTATAATCAAACAAAAGTGCACTTTATAATCCAGAATTCACGGTCGAATTAGATCAAGTACGGTTTGCACACACAAAATAATGAGTGTCATAGCCGATACAAGGTTGACCTGTCAAGCGATAGTGAGCATTATTTTCCAAGATTTACGGTCGTTATTATTATATTCACGCGATGAGATGAGCTCTTGGTGTTTTTGTATGCCTGGTACATTTTGCCGGAAAATGGGAAGGGCCGCATTTACTTGTTTGCTAAATTGATTAAAATAATGTGCTAAATTATGCATTTCCGATTCATTTGATTATTTATTTATACTATTAAGGACCGAACCCGATTCGACTTTTATCTGAGAGTAACTCCTAGTATAACTGGCACATTAACAGTGTAAGTACATATGGGAAATATGACAAAATATCGAATAACTGAAATTATTATTTACTCTTGGTTGGTCGAATCCACCCTAAGCAAATTAAAAACCAACTCGATTTTCTGGGCTGGATTGAAGTGTTTTCAAAGAATGCGTCTTGAAATTATTGGTAAAATGATGTCAGTCAACCAGCCCAAATGCACCGCGAATATTCGTGTACGAATGTGCTGTTGCACAAAATTCTAGGGCTCCTTAACTACAACATGTGACCGTACTACCAGGACAGCATAATCTAAGAGTGTTCTCTTAATAAAAATGTACTATCAAACAAAAATACGTTTCATTTTATAGCAGTCAAGGTCTAAATCAATGCAGTGATGTTTACATGCATTAAAACATCCGGCGTCACTCCAGATGAAGGACGGACCTGTCAACTGATAGTGAGCATTACTGCCCAAGATTTACAGTCGCAAATATTTGCGATCGCTTAGGAGATGAGCTCTCAATGTTTTTGTAATCCTGGTACATTTTATTTGTAACAGGGACGGGCCGCTTGATAAGGAAAACGAGATGATATTGACTTGCTGCAATTGAAAAAAATAATAAACAAGACAAGTAATTTATTGAACTTTGGTTAAGCGTCTGATCTTATTTAGGACGTTTCTACTTCACTTCCGGACACAGTGAAACATAGAAATGAGGGCTTTATAAGTTTCTAAGAAAATGCGTTATTTCAAATACATTTCAATGTGCAGTGAAGAAGGTCTATCTACAAATAGCTACTAAACGTGCCAAAAATGAGTCCAAATAAACGTTTTTGTCTTTCTTTCTTTACAGAGCATAGAACACTTCTTAGTTTTTACAGTCTGAATTTGGTTGCACTTCGAATATTCGGTAAGTGAACGAATGTGCTGGCTCGCTTAAGGCATGCTCACAAGCAAGCCAAAACATGTGACTGAAGTACCAGGCCTGCAGAATATCGTGTTGTCTGTTGTTATAAGCGATCAACAAATGAAACAAAGCTTTATTTTCGAGTAGTCAAGATGCAAATCAGTCCAACAAGGTTGCGCATGCACAAATAATGTGTCGGGAACTCTGGAGTCCCGATGCAAGACGCAACGCACAAGCGATATTGAGCATTATTGCCTATGTATTACGGGATAATCATTAGTTACGTTTTCATTGTAAACAAGATGAGCTCTCCACGTTTCTGTTTTCCTGGTACATGCTACCGGCATTAAGGTTGGGCAGCGTGATAATGAGGCAATTACGATACGATATCTTTTACCTGCTAATTGGAAAAAATAACAAATAAAGGTCGTTCAATGCCCTTTATGCATTGCGTGATTTGTTTTTTACAGAATTTACATAATAAGTAATTCGATAGTTTGAAATACACCATGAATCACCATCACACACCATGCACATGATACTATGTGGTAGTAATGGTGTGCGCCAACAGAAATGGTAAGGTTATAGTCCAGTCAATGAATGCCTTAACGACGGTGTAGAGAGAAATCCGTGGAACACAATTTCTGACCTCGGGACTTTATTTAGCCTAGTTAGGTGGTGAACATAGCAAAAGTCCCCGCCCTTAGCCCTTGAGCCGGCGGGGAGAGGGGGGTTTAAAGGTACCACTTTTCGGTTTTTCGCTTAATCCTCGGAAACTATGCGTCCTAGTGACATGACTACTATGAACCAAAAAAAGCTTATTCAATTTGCTACAAGTGAGACCGTCAAGTTTTTCTATATCTTGTATAGTTTTTGCGGCATCTGCTCTAGAAGGTCTGTAAAATTGGAAATTTTATTGTTGTCTTACATGTTCCTTTCAGGAGAAAATCGACTAAATCAACATTGAGCAAACACTATAGACATGCGGGAGCATGTTAAGCCTAGTTCCATGGAGGGGACTGCACCGTGCGTATATTTAGACGAACCAATTAGAGCCACTTTTGACTCCTCATCATTCAAAAACTACTGTGCATTAACACTTCAAATTTGGCTCATGTATTGAGACTTGCAAGATGTACATCAGCTTCAAATTTCATAAATATACCTCAAACGGTTATTTAGGTATTGACGTTCAAAAATCGATATTTAGAGCACTACTATCTATCTATCACATGTGAAATGTTAAAATTTACTGGTTTTTTATTTGTTCCTTTGTATTTACATAACTACCTTTCTGGATGCCAAATTTGAACCTTCGAGGTCATCTGGAAGTGGTTAGAATTTGGTCTATAGGTCAGACATGTAGATTTTTGGACGTCAATATCTAAAGAACCGTTTGAGGCATATTTATGAAATTTGAAACTGATGTATATCTTGCAAGTCTCAACACATGAGCCAAATTTGAAGTGTTAATGCACAGTAGTTTTTGAGTGATGAGGAGTCAAAAGTGGCTCAAAGTGATTCGTCTAAATATACGCACGGTGTAGTCCCCTCGCTGGAACTAGGCTTAACATGCTCCCGCATGTCTAGAATGATTGCTCAATGTTGATTTAGTCGATTTTCTCCTGATGGGAACATGTAAGACAAAAATCAAATTTCCAATGTTACAGACCTTCTAGAGCAGATGCCGCGAAACTATACAATTTATAGAAAAACTTGTCGATCTCACCTGTAGCAAATTGAATATGCTTTTTTTGGTTCAAAGTAGTCATGTCACTAGGACGCATAGTTTCCGAGGATTAAGCGAAAAACCGAAAAGTGGCACCTTTAAACCCCCCTCTCCCCGCCGGCTCAAGGGCTAAGGGCAGGGACTTTTGCTATGTTCACCTCCTAACTAGTCTAAATAAAGTCCTGAAGTCAGAAATTGTGTTCTACAGTTTTCCATCTATAATGCTTTATTGACTGGACTATTAGGTTAGGTTGTTTTTTGACCGTGGTATATTTAGCAGCTCTCATACTACAAACCACGGTGTTCAAAATATAACCTATCATTTATGTATATCAGCCCGGGCCACAGTGATCTATAATCATCAGGCCACTTGGTCTCCACTGCACAAGAACGACCCTTTCTAATTTACGATTTAGCTAGCCGAATGGATAATTTTTGACTACATTCCCTACCACACCAGATATCTGATCAATTATAACATTTCCACTCACTTGACAAGGTGGACCGACGACCGTATTAGCGCTGGATGCAGGCCGAAACCAAAAAAAAACATTAGGAAATCATTAAGGGATGTCTGGAGGAATTTCAACAGTGGACGTCCTATGGCTGAAATGATGATGATGATGACTCCCTGGATTTAATCCGTGTGGTACTATACAGTGTCGAATCTGACCAAGCCCTCCTACTGTTACATGAGAAGGTCTATGGAGGTGACACAAACTCACTTGATGTAATTAGTGTGGTACTTGTTGATGCTATAGTTGCACAAATGCATGCAGGGGTTCCACAGGTTCTTGTTAGTCTTGCACTTGACCGTGGCGAACCTGACCAGGCCCTCCTACAGGTATATGAGAGTCTATGGAGGTGACGCAAACTCACTTGATGTAATCCGTGTGGTACTTGTTGATGCTATAATTGCACAGATGCATGCAGGGGTTCCACAGGTTCTTGTTAGTCTTGCACTTGACCGTGGCGAACTTGACCAGGGCACCTACAGGTATATGAGAGTCTATGGAGGTGACGCAAACTCACTTGATGTAATCCGTGTGGTATAGATGGCACAGATGCATGCAGGGGATCCGCAAGTTCTTGTTTTTTACCGTGGCGAACCTGACCAGGCCCTCCTACAGGTATATGAGAGTCTATGGAGGTGACGCACACTTACTTGATGTAATCCGTGTGGTACTTGTTGATGCTATAGTTGCACAGATGCATGCAGGGGTTCCACAGGTTCTTGTTGGTCTTGTTCTTAACCGTGGCGAACATGACCAGGCCCTCCTACAGTTAAATGAGAGTCTATGGAGGTGACACATACTTACTTAATGTAATCCGTGTGGTACTTGTTGATGCTATAGTTGCACAGATGCATGAAGGGGTTCCAAAGGTTCTTGTTGGTCTTGTCTCACTTGACCGTAGCGAACCTGACCAGGTCCTCCTACAGGTATTTGAGTCTATGGAGGTGACGCACACTCACTTGATGTAATCCGTGTGGTACTTGTTGATGCTATAATTGCACAGATGCATGCAGGGGTTCCACAGGTTCTTGTTGGTCTTGTCGTACTTGACCGTGGCGAATCTGACCAGGCCCTCTTCGTACAGGTATATGAGGAGAGGGTCTATGGAGGTGACGCACACGTAGAGACGAAGGTCACACTTGTGGCCTCCGATGAGGAGCGGCTTGTCTATGTACTTGGCTACTACCACGTTCTCGCCTTTGGGGATTTGTTCCGGCTGGAAAGATAGGAGTTTTGGTTAGTGAAAAAAAAACACATTAAATATTAACTTAGTGATCAACAATTCACCCAAAAAACAGTAACATAACAATGTAATGTGTCCCACGCCCAAAAGCGAAGTCTATATTGACCATTTTGAACATTTTGAATTAAGATTTTTTTGATCGATTGGAGTTCCTACTTTTTTTTCCACAAGGCCCGCGATGGTTGTAGGTAGTCAGTTGACAAACTAAACTACATATTGTGTATGGTGACTGGTAAAACGTCACAATAATTACTCGTTCATTTCTTTTACGTGATTTTAGGTAGCGCCTGCGCCCTGCGCCATTTTTATTCTAAACTAAACTCGTAGTATACTATAGGTACTTAGAAGGCTTAATACTTAGTCGTCGTATGCTTACTGTGTTAACGATGTAGATCCCTCTGCCCCTACTCGAAGCAGCAGGCTTCACAATCCAGGGTCCCTTGGTACGGTAGTGGGTGGAACATAGCTCCTTGTACTCAGCAGGCATCAGGAATGTTGTGGGGATGAAGTCGAAGTGCTTGAGTCCGCGGAAGTACTGCATTTTTTCGATGTTCTTGAATAACTTGTCTTTGCGGGTCAGCTCGTATGATCTGAGGAGGAGGAGGTTTGGGTAAGATGTGGGAAAAGATTATACTTTTGTAAAGACACGCCACTAAAGTCGCTGACATAGCCCGACGGATCAGCAAGCTGAAGTGGCAGTGGGCAGGGCACATAGTACGCAGAACTGACGGCCGATGGGGCAGCAAGGTTCTGGAATGGAGGCCACGTACCGGCAAACGCAGCGTGGGACGTCCACCCACAAAGTGGACCGACGACCTGATAAAGGTAGCAGGAAGGCGCTGGATGCAGGCCGCTACCAACCGTGCGATGTGGAAGTCATTGGGGGAGGCCTATGTTCAGCAGTGGACGTCCTGTGGCTGAAATGAATGAATGAAAAGGCACGCCACAATGATATCAGGACGTTCAGTTTTATTCTGTCTTATTATTTTATAATTATAATTTTATAATTGAATTCTTTGTGCAGGATAAGGGAGGTCCCCTAGCTGGAGACTTCCAAAACGTAAGGATTTTCTTTTTTGACGTGGACTAATCAATAGTGTGCAGGAAATGTACTTCCCTCCAAATATAATTTAATTATCACCATAGCTACAGCACTTGTTGAGGTGTTTACCCAGGGAAGTGGTTGACCGTATGGTTGGTTCTCACACAAAAGCACATCGAACTGGATCAAAGGGCCGGACCACATTATGGTCCAAGAGTGCAGAAGAGCCCGGCCGGTTGAAGGGCTGGTGGACAGCCCGTGATTCTTCAGCTGTGACGTAACTACTGTAACAGCACTGAGGTGTTTACCTCGGGAAGTGGTTGACCCTTTGGTTAGTACTCAGGGCCTTGAGCACATTGAACTGGATCAGAGGGTAGGACCACAACAGCGTCCAGGTCTCGCAGAAGGGCCCAGCTTCCAGCAACCCTTGATCCTTAACATACTAACAGCACTGAGGTGTTTACCTCGGGAAGTGGCTGACCCTTTGGTTAGTACTCAGGGCCTTGAGCACATTGAACTGGATCAAGGGGCCGGACCACAACAGCGTCCAGGTCTCGCAGAAGGGCCCAGCTTCCAGCAACCCTTGATCCTTCAGGTATGACGTAACTACTATCATACTAACAGCACTGAGGTGTTTACCTCGGGAAGTGGTTGACCCTTTGGTACGCACTCAGGGCCTTGAGCACATCGAACTGGATCAGAGGGCCGGACCACAACAGCGTCCAAGTCTCGCAGAAGGGTCCCGCTTCCAACAGTCCATGAGCCTCCAGCATGGTGCGTAGAAGATGCTTTCGGGTTTCGGGTCGCCTAACGAGATTACTGCCATTATTATTGGATTACTTACAGTGATCTAGGGCAGAGCGAAAGGAGCGGTCGCTGTGCCTTGCGACGAGTACCTAAACGTCTAAGTTTAATCTTTGACTTCGATCATTGAGGGAGGGCCTCCGCTAAAACTCGCGCGGGCACCGTATCGAAATATAGTGCGAGCACCGCATGCGTGTGAGATGTGCCGCCGTAGTAGGCGTGAATTTCCGCAAGTTTTAGCCTAGACCCATAGGGTCAACTACTGGGGTCTCTTCCAAAAACGAAGTAAATAAATATCACCTACACCAATAATAATGACAGCAATGCACGAAGACGCTATCAAATATGAACAAAGTATGCACACACACAACCAACCTCGCGTTTTGATGCCGGGCGACTCAAGAATACCCAATCCTAGAAATAGATCGTGCACATTGTAAAATTGACGAAAAAATCTCACCTTGGGAAATGGTTGACCCTCTGGTATGGAGACAAAGACCTCAGCACATCAGGTTTCGGATGGAGTCCCGACCACAACAGGTTGAAGTTCTTTTCTTCTGCACAAGCTTCTTGTAGCCCGTGAGCTTGCAACAACCGGTGCAGGAGTTTGGTTTCTGTATTCACTAACTTGTACGTGATCTTCAGCATGCGGGCTGGCATTTGATTGCTGTCTAGGACCTGAAGTAATGATGACATCATCTAAATAAAGCTTCTCAACAACCAAGCGAAAATACCTACGCTACAAATTAAACTTTTTTGTACTAAAAGATATAGGTTTTCTTACCTTCACATTGTCGACTTCTTTCACAAGTAGATGCTCAGAGTCATCGCTGTCGAAGGACGGAGATAGTGTTCTTTGAACTTGAGTATTTTTTCTTTTGTTTTTTCCTTTGGTCTTTTTCCCTTTTTTCTCGTCTTTGGTTTCAACTGCAAAAGGAAGTTAACGTTGTAAAATTAAAATTTGAAGAAAATAAAATTAGCTCAAATGGGACGTGAAAAAGCAGAAAGAATATACTTATACCTTTGGGTGGGGGTGGCGGTTCCTCTGGAGGTTTTATGTTAGCTGTCGTATTTTCTATATTCAAGTGTTTCTTCAGCGTAATCTTGCTCAGATCGTTCAAAACGTCTTCGATGTCTCTCTTGTGTTCCGCCGGCTCGTGTCCCTGCTCCTCCACCGATTCGGTCTGCGGGACCTCGGCCTCGCTGACGTGCCTCACCACATAGGCTTGCCCGGAGTACTTATTGCTGTTCCCAAACGTCTCCATCACATCGTGCATTATTGTCTTCGGCCGGACACTGAACGAATGCGGTTCAGCTACCAATCTCCTTGCCATATTCTTAGCTTTGTTCAACAGGATGGTAGTGCCAGTGTTGTTTCCGATTGTTTTCGTAGTCGACTCCATCGAAGGCGTCCTCGATGCTAGGACACATGATCGGAAGACCAGAACCGCTGCCTTCGAGCCGATCGGGCCCCCCGACACCCAGTCCGTGACGGAGCCCTCGCCGTCTTTGTCTTTGGTGGCATCCTCGTCATTCTTTCTCATGCTGTCTTCCTCTCGTTCGTTTGTCTGAAGGCCTGATGTAGACGGATTCGAGATTTCTGATGATACATATGGACTGGAAATTGAAATGTTCGGTGAGTTGTCGGTAAAGACTTACTGGGAATCGTTTGAAGCGGAGTCGGCTAGGCGTTTGGCGTGGACATGAATTATGAATTGCGATCGATATGTTCGCTTTAAACTATTTCAATGACAAGCTTGTATAGCTTCGTGTACTTAAAATCTAGGTCCTGTCGTCAACTTCGATAGGATTTTTGATCTGATAATCTCGAGTACTTACTACTCACACAGAAAATATGGATTGTGGGTAATGTGATACTGTGTATAAAAAGTAAGCTAAGAAATATAAAGAATGTAAGACTCTAATCATGCGGCGCCATGTGGTGGGCTAGTGATGTAACCAGTACATAGTCGCATGCAAACATGCGGCGAGCATATGGCCAATGGTGATGGTCAATGGGCGATTGTGCCATATAAGGCCGTGCCGATGCGAGCCGTTGCAACAGCTGACAATGTTTCTCACACCGTGCCCTGATTTGGCAGAATGGGTGGAACAGAAAAACGTCTAGCTTTTAAGGTGCTGCTAAATTAGCCTGCTTAAGGATTAAACTGAGCAGGTAAGGTTGAAAATCAATCGAATAAAGTAAATCCCATTCCTTTTTGAGTTTATAAATGTTTTTGAGTTTATTATACATTTGTGTCAGGTACCTACATGTACTACTGTCTACTGGTCTGCTGCTGTGACCACGGTCGTGACATTGTGTTGTGTATTGTGTACGAACAATTAAAACCATAGACATATTTTCTCAACTTGTCATCTAATTGCCTTAGGAAACTCTCAATTTGTTGTTGAGTATGTATGTAAATTGGTACGAATTTTTATTTTAAGCCACGGAATTACCAAGATGATTATTTTGGAGCAATTTAGATGGAATTACTAACATGATTATTTATTTTAGAACAATTTAGATAAATGCAAAATTTCAGGTAATTGACTCATTGTTAATGGTTGCATTTTAGAGCAAATTATAGTAGTCTAGTTGTGACGTAGTTGCCATTTTGCCAGTTATTTCACCTGTTCTGTACTAGGACGGCCTCCATTATTCATTTTATTGACTGGTCACACAATACTGGCATCAAATCGTAGTTGTTATAAAGAAGGTTACTTACTATCGACATCGACAAAGAAAATACGAAGATAAACTAAATAAATAATGCAATACCTAACACTGCCAAGTACCTATCTACTACAGTACAAGTTATGGTTAAAATAATTTTTTAAATTCAAAAATAATCTTCATTAGAATCTAACATCTCCCACGTCCCTGATTAAGCCATTTCGGCAACCACTTAACTGAAAATCATTACCCTCCTTCCTGCCATCGGGATTGTACTATCATCAATTCATCACCTGTGTGAATTGGACTATTGGTAATTAGGACTTCTAATGCATGTTTAATGCGCTCTTGTTTACAAATGCATTGTTTGCCCACGTTTAGCAATGACCTAATGTGGACACTGCATGGTACGGTTACCAACGACACCTCTACATTAATGGCTGATCGTTATATGGTTACGGTTAAGATTGGATATCGCTCAAGAGCTACTCTGTCCATTGCTGTAAACTGTTATTCTATAATATTGATAGTTATGGTAGTCATAGTATAGTAAATAGATATAGCAGTCATAGCGTAGTGAATAAGATCTTTATTTATCCAAAGAATACACAGTCCCATAGATGCGCATTGGCCTCGTGACCCTGACCTGCACTCATGCGCAAATCAAACAAAATTCCCGTTTTGAATAACTTATATTCTGTACTCTCCTACATGAAAACAGAATGACATTTGTACAGAAGAGTAGAGAAAATAATCCGCACGTATTCATGCATAAGCTTTAATCCGACTACACAACGGAAAAAAGCGTAGGTGTTTCTACTTATGGTGTAACACCATGCCGTAAAATGGAAAACAAACCAGCACTTCACAAATGATATTTTTATTGGTATTATTAGACAACGCGTGTCAAGGGCGGGTTGTGGGAACAATAACACAACACAAGGCAATCGTCGATTTGTTACGACGCCCCATGGACGAAGTGGTATTGCTATAGCTACCATTCGTTACAAAAGGACAAAACACTTTTGGATTAATTTGTACTTCGAAAAATTATCAATGATGATTGTCGCTAGAAGAATCGGGAAATTTTATCGCTATTTAAAGAAAACCCACGAGGCTAGTTAGGTTTTATTCCACTAGACTCCATATTAAAATACACACACCGGCAGATTTAGCGGAACGCAAAAAAAAGTATGAAAATAAGGAAAATTACTACTGATCTATGAAATATTTATTATACAAAATAAAGAGATAATTAAAATAAAATAAAATAACATATATTTTTTAAATATTTAGTCGTTTTTATTTAATAAAAAATCATCGAAACGAAATTTCAATTTTTCAGTTTTGAACAAAAATTAGAAATTGTGGCCAGATTAAAAATTAGGGTAGCTTATCACTATCCAAATGAATGAATTAATGATGGGTATTTCCCCCTCTTGCTCTGATGATGGTTTCCATTCATCTGAGCATGCTGCAGTTAATGATATGAAGGGTATTTTGGGGCAATGTCTGCCATTCCTCTAGTAACGCGTTTCTCAACACCACCGGTGGTATTCTGAGTTTAACACATCTTTTAAGAAAGTCCAAGACATGCTCTATAGGATTCTTGTCTAGGGATCTTGCCAGCCACTGCATCATGGGTATATCCAAATGGTTTAGATGTGCCTGTACTGAGCGAGCACTGTGAAAACGAACATTATCGTGAATTAAACAAGACTAAATGTTACGTTCTCTTTGTGTCTCCATATTCGCTATCTTCCATCGATCTGGTTTAAGAGAACTCTGCACTCATAAGTGAAGAGATCATGCCTCCAGTCGTTCAAGACCCAATCACGATATTCACGTGAAAAGTTCAATATGTTTTTTCGGTGCTGTGTCACAAGTTGGAGCTTTCTCGGGTATGCACGACCCTATACCAACTTCAGTAAATCTCCTGTGAACTGTGGGCTCAGTCACTCTTACTCCTCGAGTGTCTTTAAGGTTATTTCTGGCTTGAACAGCAGGTAACCGCGACTTTCTGAAAACTCGAAGTTGTAAAAAACGGTCATCCCGTCGCGAAGTACGCCTTTTTCTGACTTGAACCCTCCTCCTAACGACAGAAATGATCAATCTGTACCGTTGGTTACTGCCATGGGTGGTCGATACTGATCAACGACGTCTTACGGCAGCCGATTTGTATGCATGGCCGTTACTTCTCATTTCATCTGCCTTAATGATTTCTGACGGTCCTAAGCTGGGCATAATAAACCCTTATAAGTAACTGAATGCTTACACAACAAAATTCTCAGAAAAAAACATCTTTCACGTAAAAGAAATCCAAATTAGCAAAAGCTTCATTCAATTCAAAACACTCAACGAAACTGTTGATGGGGTAATTTAAACAAAATAATTAAAAAAATATACTGTTGGCAATTATTTTTTTCATATTTAGAATTAAATTAAAAAATAATGTCATAATTAGGCATTTTTTTCCTAAAATAATGATGATATTGATGCTTTTTTTTCCGTTCCTCTAAATCTGCCGGTGTGTGTATAACAGCTAAGCCGTGTAGGCCAGACATGGATTAACTTTGTAAACCTAAATAATGTTTAGCGTATATAGTAGGTTCCCTCAACATCTACCGAGAGTCGAGACTCATCGAGAGACAGACTTCAGGCGACTTCTGCAATGCATTTAATTCAAGCAATCTACTTAAAACTGGATGGCACAACACAACCGTTGGAAAAGTCGCTATGTGGGGACACCACCATTACTATTCGTAACCTCCAGGACCGGACGACGCAAAGCTGATAGGGAGAAAATCCTACCTAGGTAGAGCTATGACTTAGTTTTGGACTTGTTAGTTAGAGCCGGCTGTTGATGATGATACATCACAAAACGATAATCAGACTACAAAAACCCCGAAAAGTGGAAGGAAAAGGTGGAAGAAAACGTGGAATAGATGATGATAGATGGTCAAAAGGCACAACCAGAGACGAGATATGACCAGACCATTATATTACTATGGCTTTCATCTTAAATATTCTTCAGAAGAACTGAACCTACTGTGTCCAAGTGTGAACCTACTTGGCTGCGTCTATATCTAGAAATAACGTTCATGGTTCACGTAAAAGTAGCGTTTCTTATCACGGATTGCAAGCTATAAATCCGCCAGTTTTATAACTAGGCCATAGGAAATGCTCCATGAAAACTCAGTTCTTTTCTCATACAGTTACATGCCATTTAAAAATATACTACGATCGCATGCAACGATTAGAATATGTCAAGTAAGTAGTGGAATCCATAAATCAATGTGCCTTTTCTACTACATATGGTTCAAATTGTGTTAAACTTATAAGACCGAGAAAGGAATACATCAAACAAGCGCAAGCAGAGGTCACTAGAAAGAAATCATTAAAGGCAAAGATTAGAGCAATAGTAGTGACACATCTCGCATTTAATCAACCAATAAAAGTCTGAATCACTTATCCAAGTTTTTACTAGCTGTCGGCAAAGTGCTAGAATGCAAACACTTTTAATTAGTCTCATGAATTAATTTATAAAGCATGGCTCCTTATTTGATTGTCAAAAGGCAGTGGGAGGATGTCACAAGAAATAAGTAATGTCGAGTCCGTTGAACTTAACACTTCGTAGGCGTATGGTGATGGTGAAATTAAGTTTCGGCTCGTAAACGGAAATGGGCTCTTCGGCCATTTTTGGCAACATTATGTCATAATTGCTGTCGTCGTAGAGCTTTGGAATGGTCACTTTTACACTAACGGGCATAGAAAGGTCATTTTTATCATTGCTTGTGAACGTAAAGAAAGGGCGTTAAGGTTCAAAATACGGTGGCTAATATACATTATAAACATTGATCTGGCGATTGATTTTATCTTCAATAGGCTCTACTTCCACAGTCAACCATTACGTATTGTTGACAAGAAACCTCTCTACCGC